TAAGCTGCCATACTGCGAATGAAGTTGTACCGTGCCTGAAAGGACAAGAGTTGGAGGGAATATGAAAAAAATCTGTCAATAGGAAAATGGTCTTTTAACTGACAGATTACTAGAAAAAAAACTAAGATTCAGTATTTACCTTCTGGAAGGCTAGAGTGGATTCATCTCCGTACTGGTTCCTGAAATAGTCGTACATGCCAAAGTCTGTCTGTCGGCCCAGTTGGTCACGAGACTTGCAGTCAGGGATGCACTCAATCACTCCACACTGTGGCACAACATCGGAAAGAGGAGGAATAAGAGGAAGTATAGATTTGCACATTCAGTAGTTCATGTAAGGAAGGAGTTGGTGTGAACTTACTCCTGGAGCAGTGGCCACCACCCTGTACGGAAACACATAGAGGTCGAGGCCCACCATCTGGAAGATGTTCTTAAAGAGGCTGATGATCTGAAGGGCCAGCATGTCCTGTGAACACAAATCAGCAAATAGTAGAGAAAATTAAATCGGGCTAAAATAGAGATAGCAATGATAATTAGGGAGAGGTTAATTATCAGGAGTATGAAAGTGAGACCTGTCTGCAATCATCTCCAACTTTGAAGATGGCTGCCTGCCAACAGATCCTCTTTGCCTCCTCTTCACTCTTCCCCTCATCCACCGAATCGGAGCGACACAGTAGACCTGAGGGAGAAACGTTATGGCACACTTTTAATCTCAGCGCAACTTTAATAAATATTTGTACAGCAGTTTTAATGCACCTTAAAGATAAGTGTACATATCTAACAAACAAACACACAGTCAGACACATGATCGTACACTCATCCTTCAAACAGATTCACACACACACACACAAGAGGCAAAAGAATAATGGGCGAAAGATTAAGGAAGAGCTAATTCTTAGAAATTAGTTTTCAGCAGTCATTTAAAACAAAGCACAAATGTATCTGAATCTATTAGATTTAACAAATATTACAATTATGTATAAAGAAAAGAGATATGAACCAAGGATTAAGCCCTGGGTGATTCCACATACGGGTGGTGCTGATGACGACATACAGTTGTTAATATGAATTCTGATGTGTCTGTCAGATAAGTGTGACGAGAACCACATGACCAGTTTCAGAAGCATTAAAACTACTCCCTATCCCCTGTTCACTCAGAAATTGTGTTTTGGTCCTTACTGCGCTCGAGCTTCATCATACAGAATAATGCCTGTTTAGAGTTTGAGTCTGTTTGAAAGAGTCCTTTAACATAACCAGTACCTTCTTTTTCCAGCTCAATGACTCCACACCTCTTAACTTTGAATTTGGCCAGGTAGGGAGCCTTGGCAGCACTAAACAAAAACACAAAGAGTAGAAGAGCATATTTTTACACTTTAACATTTCACTGTTTTATTTTAATTCTAAAAAAAAAAATGTAAAAGTTGGTTAGTATGCCCACCTCTGCATAGGAGTACCAGATTTGTAATCTATATCCAAAACTATGGCCTCTGGGTTACTGGGCAGATAACAGCCAGGCTGGACTTTGATCTGTGACATGGCTTCCAGACAGGCCCTCTTCCTCTCCTCTCCTTTGGGAAAGGGTCTGACAAGGACAAACAAAACAACTTAAACTCACAGAGTTACAACACTTGTAGGTCTATTACCTCTGTTACTTAGAAAAGCATGCATGGGTATCTCCATGAATGACTCCAGATCATATGTGACAGCCAGGCTCTGCTGTTAACCACAGAGGGGAGCTGCCAGGATAGAGTCTTGAAGTCATGGGACAGACCCTTCTCCCCTGGCTTGTTGCAATTAGTGCTGTAATAAGGGCAGAGGGGAATTTCCCAACCTCTAGTGGCCTGACAAAACACTCTCTGTATCAAGGTTGTCAGAAAACAGCTCATCAGCTGCAGAGTGTACACACTAGTGGACAGGCGGTCGGGGGCTGGGGAAACACAGCATAGCCTGTTTTCCAAAATTAAGTATGATAGGAGTGACAGCGAAGCAACAAATAGACAAATAAATGAACAACAAAGGGATTTAAAGAGCAGAACACTGGAGCCAGGGGAAGGAACAAAGCTTCTTGGCTCATGGGAATAAGTGTTATCACTTCATGAACACTTTGCAGATTACCAAGAGGGCTTGGATCTTTTTAAACAGAAAGTTACAGCAGTTACTTTGAAATCTCTCAAAAAAGTCAGAACATTAACTTGATATTTTTCATCTTTTGTCTCAGGTGTACATGAGTTTTGAGATTGAGGAACATAGTTAAGGACAAAAGAAGAAAAAATAACTTAAGGAAGCAACACGGGGCGACCGTGGCTCAGTGGGTTGGGAATCGCATCTGTAACCGGAAGGTCGCCGGTTCGATCCCTGGGCTCTCTGTCCTGGTCGTTGTGTCCCTGGGCAAGACACTTTACCCTACTTGCCTACTGTTGTTGGCCAGAGGGGCCGATGGCGCGATATGGCAGCCTCGCTTCTGTCAGTCTGCCCCAGGGCAGCTGTGGCTACAACTGTAGCTTGCCTCCACCAGTGTATGAATGTGAGAGTGAATGAATAGTGGTATTGTAAAGCGCTTTGGGTGCCTTGAAAAGCGCTATAGAAATCCAATCCATTATTATTATTAACACTGTAGCAAAAGTTCACTTTGGAAACTCCCTAAAACGTAAAACAACTTAAAATTCATAAAAGCACAGTGAAATAAATAGTGTTTTCATACTTTATAATGGCTGACACATTGGTTATTTCATTGAAGAAGTCAAACTCCCTCTGGTAGAAGTCTTTGGCCGGGCCAGACAGTGAATTGATGATCTCCTCCACCATCTGTTCCAACAGTTCTCCTATGTCAGCTGCAGGACAGAAGATCTTGAGTTTTTGCAACTGTAACAACATATTGCAATATTTACACTGAACATTTCACATCTGGTAGTTGCAGCAACCAAATGGTCACCCAGAGGTTGAACATGCAATACTTTCAATGGCAGATTGCCTGGTGAAGGTTGCCCAACCTCCAGACAAACCGGTGAAGGTTTGCAAATAACTTCCATGCCAACTGGTTGTATTCTGGTTATAATCCTATATAAAAGAAAGGCTATGCATTTATGTCATTTTGCAGTTAAATCATAATCCTGCAGCAATCTGTGAGGTTCTGTAGTTAATACAATAGCAAAAGATTTGTGGTTTCTGAAGATGTAACATGGGTAACCACTGTATTCTCATAAAGAGATTGCATGTGATTTCCAAGTTGACCCAAACTGACAGAAGACCGTCTTTATTAACGTTTTATCGCCATCTTGAGGCACCAAGATGCTTTGGAGAAAACATCAGACTGTGAGTGGTCACAGATGTGGTCTGGTCCATTTCAAAAGGCAACAAGATTATTGGTCATTGCACATGTTCTAGACCCACTGCTTTTTTTAGTCTGAGTGTGGCATAGTGAAGAAATAATGAAGGTGAGCATCTCACGATCTTTTTGGTTTCCTTCCTCATCCAGGTATATGTTCGTCTTCATGTTCCAGATGAACTGGTGAGCCAGCAGCTGAGACTTCTGAGCAGCCCACAGGATGTACTCTCTCACATAACCCATCTGCACCAGGATGCAAACAGGGAAATTCGATCATTTATTCATGTTACGAGGGCTCTGAATGTATTTGCTGACTCAGAAAATATGATAATTACCTTGTCATAACGAAGAGCTTGTACAATTTGAGGAATGTAAAACAAAATGGCATCCTAAAAAGAGAATAAAAACAAAAAAGTAATTAACACTACACCAACAATTTAGCTTATTACAGTAAACTTCACTCAAACGTCATTTCTAATCATGTTTAAAGGAAAGGAAATTTGTAAGGGGAAATGAAGGTACTTTCCCCAACCCTTTTTCATCAGATAACCTAAAAACCGTCTATCATGCACATAAATCTTCTCTAATATCAACATTAGAAATAAAATAAAACTATAAATTTTCTGTAAACTGCATCTGGACAACCATTAGCCCACCACTACTCAATTGTAACTGTAGCTACTGTATTTAAACTGTTATTCTTGAGGTTTTTTCAATACCTCATACTTTCAATAACATCATTTGTCGATCTATAGCAGCCATTACCAAAGTCGAGCCGTGGCCCACTTAAATCCAGAAAACCCCATGGGGCCCACCCAATCTTAATCTTCACTCTAATCAAAATACAACAGAAAGTGATGTGTTTCCTTAAAAAGGAACACAGGCGGTTGACTATAAATTGCTAATGCAACAGAGTTATCTGCAAAGTGTTATGGCTAATGTGTGACCCACCTGCCACAGGGAGGTGGGTCACACATTTCACAAACCTCAATGAAAGAGCAGTAAATTTAGGTGAGAGTAATATCACAAACTACCTCCTATTACCCAAAAAACAATTTTTATTCACTTTTTATATAAATAAATGAATAAATGTTTATAAATCTACATACTTGTAATTTCTTCCTGAATTTCTCTTATTAATTTGTCCCACCAGGAGACCTCACCCCATGGTTTGGGAATCATTGATCCATACAATTAACTTACATGATCAACTAGCTATACATTTGTTCATCCTCCATTTAAATGTACTGTTTTCCACTGGAAGTTCAACTTCTACCACCATGTTTGCAGATGTGGAATTGTTATTTGAAGGCCCTGTCTCTCTCCTATAATTTCTATGGTTAACCTACACTGTTATCCCACACTTTAATAACTTATTTTAACTGTTTATCCGACCGTATTAACTGTTTTCAAGTTTAATTGTTTGCCTACAGTATCAGATGTTATTTTCAACTGTTAAACCAGTCCCATGAGATTTATGGCTAACTATCCACTCACTTTTTAACCATCTAGTTAACAGTTATGAATTTCCTGTCGCTGCTCATTTCAACACTTTATCCATTTCTGGTAGTCAAATCTTAACTTTTCTTGAATTAACTGTAACAGCTGGGTTCATCTTTACACCCATGTGAAAAAAATGAAAATAATTGTATATCTCTACACACGGGAGGAAAGGAGCGGAGCACTTTGACCCCATACTGGGCTGTGAGGGGATGAGGAGGGTACATGGATGAGAAGTAGGATAGTCCAGTTGGTGGATCTGCTGGAGCCCAGCACAGGATATGACTCAGCTCTGGAGAATCAGCATCAATTGTGTGCCATGTCACCAGAAACTGCAGAAAAACATCAAAAAGTATTAAAATTGAATCCACCCAAAGGTGGATTACTATGATAGGTCCCATATAATGTATCACAGAATCAGCCCTGATTGTGTGCTAACTAGCCACCAGAGGAAACTGTGTTTATTAGTTACTAAATTAACTGGAATAAACAAGTATGATCTGTCAAAGAGCATTATCTGCAAAATCACAGTGGTCATTGGGGAAAGCTGTGTTTTTCCTCCACTGCTCCTTCTTTAAACAGGTACAAGACTCATTAAGAGTTCAATCACGCAAAACTAAACACAAAGGACTGAAGAGGGCTGGAGGGAAAACGATTACTCAATAACACAATTTCTCATGTGACACTAGAACCACTTAAAAAAAAAAAAAAAACACTAAGTGACAAACAAAAACTTTTTAGTTTGTTCATAAAATGTGTTAGTTTCATGATGACAGTTACTGTGTCAGTGGTACTTTGTTCTGGAGGTTTAAGCCTTTACTAACCAGCTGAGTTACAGTACTTTAAACCATTCACTCTAAGTTTGTTCTTGCACACATGATGTTTGCTCGACACTAAAATAAAAGCATCATGAATTAAACCAAACAGACAATTGTCACAATCCACCTGGTGGTTTGTGAAGACAGGTGGTAGATCTCACCTTGACTGCCTCAGGAACGTCACACACAGCAGCTGGATCCATTCGCACTAAACGAGTCACCTCAGAGACAATAGCCTCTGTGTTTTTGAACCTGAAACAAAATAAATAAATAAAAATCAATAAATGGCTTATGTCTTTCCATAAATGACACATGACACTTACCTTATTTCAACAACAAAATTATTTAAGTTGCTAAACAAGCCAAAGTCAGCCATCTGTTGCTGTCTCATGTTATTTTAAAGCAGTTTCATGGCCAATTAGTTTTTTTCCCTTGTTGTTTTATTCATATTTTGATATTTAATTACCAATAACTAGATTTTTAATTTAGCAATGGTGAAGATGAGTGTCAGAGGTGACTTGCGACAGCAAGAAGTGCAAGAATGAAAGGGAAGAATTTACCAAAAAAAAAAAAAAAAAACTGTTAGTGAAAACTGCCATCATGTACGGTTTGGAAACGATGGCACTGACAAAAATACAGAAAGCCAAGGTGAACATGTGATGTTAACATTTTCAGTGGGAGACCAAGATGGACAAGACTAAAAATGAGTCTCTCAGAGGGACGGCTCAGTTTAAGCATTGTAGAGACAAGGTCAGAAAGGCGATACTGAGATGGTTTGGACATGTGCAGAGGAAGGATGGTGGATACACCAAACATTATTTTATTATTTCAGAATTTAAAACAAGATTTATTTTTTTATTTATGCTTTTTACTTTAACTGTTTTCTGTTGAACACAAGCATTCAAGTTTTTCAAATTTTCAAATTAGACAGAATGTATTACATTTATGAAACAGGATGCAAAGCACTTTGATGTTCTGTGTACCTGGCAGGCAGATGGAGGGCAAGGTAGGGTGCTATGCTCCACGCTAGATTGACGTTGTCCTTCCACTGTTTCTCCGTCAGACTGATGTATCTGGATCTCCAGTTAGCAATACTTGTCTCCACTGACTGTTCTGTAGTAATGGCAAGCTCTTGAGTGGATAAGGGATTGTACCATATTGTCAGCCGCTCAATCTCACTGGCCTGGAAAGAAACATACAAGTTTAGATCAGTTGGATTTCATGTAATTTGCATTATGAAGATTGTGAAACATAAAGTGGCTAAAGTAGCATCAAGCCCAAATTAAAAAGATGACCTATTATGCTTATTTACATTTGTTATTATTGAACTCCACTTGAATGATTTCCAGTTCAATTTAACCCTTATTTATGTCATTCAAGTTTATCGTATCCCTGAAACAAGTTCCTCAATGTTCAAGCCACCCTCCCTGCAAGTCAACTATTTCTTACTGGCTGCCCAGTCAGAGAGTTTGAAGAGCAGACAAGTGGAACTGCTGTGCCTGAACTGACCATATTAAGGCTACCCGCTGTCAGTGACATCATGCAGAACCAAGAGTAGAAAAAAAGAGTCTAAAACCTGAGCTTATGGCTCATAGAGAATACTTGTATATACTCTGACTTCAGGATTTTTACATTTTATTCATGTTTAATATAATCGTGCAGCACTGTAACAGAAAATTCTGAAAAGCATAATAGGTCAACTTGCAACTATCTATTCATAAAAAGAAAAATATACTAAAGCATGCGCTTCACTTTATTGCCACATATTTGTGAATAATAATACTTGTTGAAATACCAGTAAAGCCAGAAGAAGAGTCCTGCGTTTCATGTAATACTTGTGCAGCTGGGTGCCTCTATTGCTTTTTTTAGACAGTCCTGAAATGTATAAAGAAAGAGTGGTGAAAAAGAAGCAGAGTCATTGCATATATAATTTTAACACACTGCGTGTTTTACCTGATTTCTTGGATATGGTGGACATCCCTGAGGACAGAGGGTATGTGTTGATCCATCCCTGAGCGACCTGCTGCCTCTGACCCACTGCTACATCGAGACTGCTTCGGCTGTCTGTCACTGCCACTACAGACAGGCTGTTCACAGACATGTCTTGGGGATCTGTGGAACAATAAATACCATCAGGCCCAGATCTAAACATCAAAACATAAACTTTAAGAAAATAATACTGATGACTGAAATCCTGTGACTGTTTTTTTCTGTTCAAAGCATCAGTATAACATCACAGAGTGATGACAATGGCTGTACAAAATAGTAATTCATTAATAATTACTGAAGATATACCTGGAGGAACCAGCTGGTTGGCAGTCAGATATTTCTTGTCAGACTGCAGGCTGGCATAAAACTTGATCATTATACTGATGTCTTCTCTCAGCCTTTTATCTGTTTGAGTGGGAAATCTGGGAGCAACGCTACACAGAAACAAACATAAAAATAAGTCATTAAACAGCTTTAAAGACACTTTTTCTTTATCGCAAATAAAACTAGTTTAATTACCTGAAGTAATCAAAAGCTGTGGAATAGATTTTTTCTCGCAGTACGTTCCTGATGGTAGCATTTGTCACCACATCAGCATGCAGAAGATTAAGACCAAGAGTCAACAGTCTGAAATAAAGCAAAAGGATGATACAACAGTTTAGGATTATGCATTTGGCGATGCTGCTGATAGAATAGAATAGAATAGAATAGAATTCAACTTCATTGTTATTGCACATGTTACAAGTACAAGCCAACGAAATGCAGTTTGCATCTATCCAGAAAGTGCTTTAGCGATAATATAGATTTAATACAGAATATAGATCTATTATAGGTATGTTCCAACGTACACGGTATGAAGGTGTGTTCTGAGTATACTATAACTATAAGTATGTACAGGCTATAGCTGTAGTGAGTGTACAAGCTATGTACAGGCTATGAATAGGTTATACATGTGGTTAAAAATATAAAAAACTATACAGATTGTAGATATACAATTGCGAGTATAAATAGACAATTGTAAACAGTTGTATTTGTAAACAAATACTATGATTGCCACAGTATTTCAAAGTAAACACCTGAATCTTGGTCCAATGGCAGCAATATGTTTGTTTATGCTGCTTTTGGATCCTCCTACATTCAAAGACAGAGATCGCTGTAAAATGGCGGTGAAAATCTCCACTTGGTCAGCACTGGAGTACTTGGCTATCTCGAACCTCTGCACCAGAAACTTGAAGAAAGAAAGAAAAAGAAAATGTTTATGTCTCCAACCTTTACCAGTTTGTAGAAACAAATAAGCTTTGTAGGTGATGAGATCCAAAATTCTTGGGCTGATCGACTCTTCCAGATGTAGCATATTAAAATAGATTTAAAAACTGATCAGTATTGACCTACAATATGCTGCACTCACTCAGCACCGTCTTTAATTAGATATCTATCCATTAAAAGTCAGGACAAGTGATGAAAAACATTCAGCAAAGAAACAGTTCAAAAGCAGCTAGATGGCCACATTACTTTTAAAAATAAACATTAAACAGCAAACAACACAATATTATTCTGTATAACTGACCTCTATCCAGAGGAAGTGAGGCACGACATCAGGAGCACAGGGTGTAGGTTGACTCTCCTCTGAGACAGCCAGAGGGCCAGCCTCGACCTTAGCCTCCAAGAATAAACCCATTTTCAGCTCTACTGTCATCTGCCAAGCTCCTGCCATTTCACGCATGAACTAAGAAGAAACATTAAAGATAATCAACTTAAACTAAACATGCATTCATGTAATTATTTAAACGATTTTAAGAGAAGTGACACATACTGGCACTTCCACCCCATTGTGCGCAGCCAGTAGCCATTCCCAGCAGGCAATGGCAGTTTCCATGCCATGTTCTGTAAACATCTTCAGAGGAGACCAACAAAGATGGTGCAAGAGCAGTGGATCGCAGTCTGAAAGCCAGACATAAAAACAAGAAAATTACTAATGAAAAGTGAACTTTATATAATAATTAAATGAAGAAATAAATAACAGGCGTGATTTAAGAGAAGCAGAGCTGCTCACTTTTGGTAGTTATAAGGAGGGCAGCCATCTTGAACATGGCCTGGGTGAAGGCCTCAGGGTCTTTTTTATCTAGAGCACTGGTCATCTGATGGATCATCAACTTGTTGAGATCCGACTGGCTGTGAGTCGCCTCTGAGAACTGGATCATACCAGCCACCTAGACAGTACATAAAAAAGACAGGAGATAGCATCAGAGAGCAGAAGAGAATAGGAGTAGCTGTGCTTTTAAATATTCCCAGTATAGTTTACCTCTCCTGTGTACCGGTTTCGCAGATTGAGTGACGCCATGAAGTTGGAGTAGTCTTTTTTCACACATGCTGGTCTCTCTGTCAGTTGGGTGGTCTGAAGGGGGGAAAAAAAACACAATGTAACTGCCAAATAACTGCATGGAAACTATGGAAGCATGAGCGACAGCTTTAATGTCACACTTGGATATACTGAGGGTGTCATGCCTGAGGCCTTTTTCTCTGTATTTAGTGATCAGACCAACCTGAGGGAAAGCAGCCTATGGTTGGGCACATGGTGGAGGACAGTACCGGCATAACCAGTAAGCCAAATGGGCAACCAGCCAGCCAGCCAACCAACCCACCAGTCCATTGCAGGTAAGTAACCAGGTAACCAGCAAATCCGTACACAGGCCAAGCAACCAGGTAGGTAGTTCGGTGCAGTTTAATAAAGACAAAATACAACAAATGAAGCAAATGAAAAGACAGATATAGCAGAATGCAGGCCCAAAGAACATATAAGAAATGCCTAGCAAGCAAAATAATGTCACACAGACTAGTAAGCATGCACACATGAACATAGACATCTACAAATTGTTTAAAAAGCAACAAAATAAAACACACAAGCTATATGTGCACAACAAAAAAAAAATCAACAAGGACCTTTTTCTGAATACAAACAAAAAGCCGACGTCTTTGGCAAAGCTGCTAAATTGCACATGGCATGTTAAAAAGCACTTTATGTTGGACAGCTGTTAATGAGCATTCAATCAACAAACCTGGGAGGCCATTTAGAATTAAACATTCTTAGTTTGCAGTTTGCTCCAAGTACAGTGTGTTACTAAAATGCTCTTGCTCCTGTCATCTACTGTGCTCTAAGAATTCTGACTACACATATCTTTGGTAGAACTGTGTCTTTGCACTAATTTGCATCTAAACTATATATTAAAAAAAATACCGTATTGGTTTAGTGAACGTTATCTTTCTGCAGAATTGCTAAAATGCAGTAGATTCTATCTCACCATCAGTTTGGCTCATTTTGTCTAAATTTATCTTGACATTTAGTTGGGGGTTAAATCCAATATTTACAGTATGATAACTGCGGTGATCAGAAGGATTTGTGTGAAGCCGTGGCTGTAAGTGTATCTGTGACTCACGCCTAGTGTAGTACTCTGTCTGTTGTAGCCTGCAAAGTGAAGTATGCTCTCTGTGGCCATTGCAAGGCCAGTGTGCTGTGACAGTCCTGACACCCAGATCTGATGCTTGTTCAGATACTCCTGCAAGAAAAATCGAAATAGCAGATATGACAAGAATCATTTACAGTCACTTATGCCTTGTTTACTCAAAGTAAACACTCCTTTTCAAAATGCAGAGGTAAAAGTTAATTGCTTGCTTAAAATAAATTAATAGTGGCTATCTATTAAATAAAAACTTAAAAGAAACTAACCTGTAGGTGGGACTTTGTGACCGAAGGAGCCCATTTCATTGCTTCTTTCAGGATCTCACCACAGCGAGCAGCAAAGTCTTTTACTATGCTCTAAAAGGAGTTGGGAAATAAAGGCATAGTGCTACTTTATTAAGAACAAGAGTGGCAATAATATTCAATATTTAGCATTTACTGTTATATTCACATAGATCATTGCAATGATGTTGTTTATTATATTGCTCTCTCTTTTTGTTGTTGCTTGTTTTCTCTTTTTTCTTTCTCAACAGGTGATCCAGGTGATTGATATGTGTATTTTTTGTCTGTTTGTTTTGTTGGTTTTTGTTTTTTGCCCTTCATCACCGTTCCTCTTCCCCGCTGTTTTTCTTTCCCTACCTCTCTTTCTTTCTCCCTTTCTTTCCCATGTGTAGCAAGTGAAAATAAAATAAAATAAACAAAAATAAACAAAAGGTGAATCAAATAGACTGATACGGCAAGGCCGGGATGGTTCATTTGGTAAAGTAAATCCGTTGGGCATCTTTCTTTGCCTTTAGACAATAATTCTGATGGCAAAAAGAGTGGCGGACATTCACTGACTAAAATAAATTCTAGCACAAACCAAATGCCACTTGTTTATTTAACTTCTACATTTTTTTAAGAGCCCAAACCTCAGTCCACCATTAAAATACAGTTTACACTTGATATGATAAAAAAAGAACTCTCTCCCTACTATTGTTGAAGCCCATACTGTGCTGTCCTCTAGTGGTCAGAAGTGTAATAACAGCCCAAACTCACCTCTCTGGCTTCATATGTGTCAGGAACAGTGATCCTGTATGGGGTGTCGGGAATGTCATAGTATGGCTGGTCCTTATGAATGTCCTAAAGTAAAGGAGAATACATTTTGTTCACATGAAGTCTATATTTGCATCTATTTAAACACTTCCATGAGATCTAACTTAAAACCTCTTTTACTCGACCACAGCACACCGACTTGCTGACTCTGCATTATGTTATCGGTACAGGGACCGAGAACCAGGCACTCAAACAGAGAACCTGGCACTCTGTCTATCACATCAACCCTCTCCTCATACTCACAGCACTTAGTGACAGAGAGAGTGTCTGCAGAATGTCCAACATGGTCTTTAACACACGACCGCTCCAGAGTAGATGAGGGAATCTGGTTCAGATAGAAGGATGTAAAAATACTTAGAAAAAATGATAAGCGAGAAAAAAGCAGACAAGGTAACTAAATGATTTCTACTCACGTCTCAGCCAAACCAGAGAGGTATTTGTCTGCTACTCTGCGGATCCTCTTGTGGGTATGATTAAAGTTCACCAACAAGAATTGGGCATGACGCTCTAATTCTTCTTCGTGTTCTTTGGTCTTTGCCTGAAAACATAAGAAACAAAATGATTTTTTAAAATCTGAACTTAATTAAATGTTGCAAGCTCCACATATTTTACTATTTAAATACCCCCTACCTTCTCAGCCATCATCTGAAGGAAAACATCAAATACCTTGTCGCCAACACAAATGATGCACTGCATCATGCCTGCAAAAAAGGAAAACTGAGAAAATGGGTTCCATATATTACAAAGACAACAGGATGATTAAATTGATTCGGGCACAAAGCTCTCACCAGATTTGTCTTTCTGGATGGCTTTGTCTTCAAAGTATCGAAACATGACCTGGAACCTATCAGGATCATTGGATCGCAGCATCCTGAGAGAGATAACAGGAGGAAATTATATTTTTGCACATTTTGACCTCGCTTAAGTGAGAAAAGATAAGGAAATTAAGCTCATGCCAATAGAGCTGACCTCATGTATTCTAATCGGTAGACGGAGAGCAGGTATGTGGACATGGCAAAGTCTAGCTTGTTAATGAGGGCAGACCCTTCAGGAGGTGGGTCAAGGAGATTGCTGATGGTTGCCCGCAGTTCACTCAACTCCGCCTGGAGGAAAAAAAGATTTGAACACCTAAAGATTAATTCTGGTATTCCTTTAATTTAAAAAAAAAAAATCAAAACTATTTTGAACACTGTACCGGGGTGACTGTGTCGTTTTTCAGAGCAGAGTTGTACTGTAGCTCAGACCGCAGAGGTTCTCCACTGGGGAAGGTGAGAAGAGGAGACTTGGTAGCAATCTCACACACACCTTCATACCACTCCTCTGGCCAAAGCCCTAAAAAGACAAAATATATTTCAAGAAATACAGAAACATGTTGGTTTGCTGCTGTGAGCCTTTTTCATTCCACATATCAACACAGCTGTGGCAGATGTACCGGGACAAAAAAAAAAAAAAAAGCTGAATCCATTTTGAACAGAATTTGGAACGTTTCTTTTATTTTTAGATATTACTTAATTTTACATCTATTACTGATCAGTTTCACTGATTTATCCTCAAAGTTTGTGCAACAACTTTGTTTTCAGAATCAGAATACTTTATTAATCTCTAAGGAAATTATACACAATCATGTTTAATAATTTTACTGTAAGCCAGCAATTTCATTCTAATTTATAACTGTTAATGTATTTCTTTTAATAACTTCTGACTACAATGTACTACTGACTATGCATCTATTACCTTTCCCTTCTAGATCTTGTTAAATTCTACTCAGTTCTTCACTCCACATACCCCTGGCTACTGCAGAAGCACCTCCTAGTACTTCTGGTTAGACACTGACACAGACCTATGAATCTTATGTTTATGGTGAATCTTAAAATTAAATTAAGTTTGTGACAATTGATCTATCTTTATATTTTTGGTATAAAATCTTCATGATTATTATATTTCTTGTAATTGTGCTTGTTTAAGTCTAAACCAACAACTACATGATCTATGTTTTATAAATGAAAGCTACAGATGCCTTGAGATTCCAAAACATCAGTGCTGAACAAGGCAAGGAGCCTCATCATGGGAGGAGCTTAACATATGAGCTTAGCATATGAAAATTACTTAATTCTTTGCTTACCTGATCCTTCCACAGCAAAACCCATGACCACTGAGTACAACCAGAAGTCCCTAAACAGCTTCTGGAGGCGGGGCTTGGCCTCTTTGATTGGTGGAAGCCTCCTGGTCAACTATGAGTCAAAAAAGCCAGACAAGACAGATAACAATGATTGATTTAGAGCAATTATCGCTTAAATCAATAATTTTATGCAAAAAGTGAATATAAAAAAAATCCCCCAAAATACTGGTACTTCCTTTGAGTACAAAAGGTTATTACACACTGGATATTATGCATACTAAAAAAGTGTAAGGCTTACAAATAAATTAACAGCTGCAAACAATGTGTTACTGAACTACAGGAGATTTAACTGTTAGTAAAATATATTCTTAACAAGTGAGCAGAATGGTGAAGAGTTAAAGGTTTGAGTCAGTCACAGGACGTTTTGGTCTGTTTGATCTGGTTTATTTGTTCAAGAGAAGCCCACATCAAAGTTCAGTGGTGTATTCAATTCTTTGCTCTTAGTCCTACAAACAGAAGCAACAGAAGACTTTACACCACGACTCGGTAAAGGTAAGACATTACCGTTATTATAGACAAACTGCTGTTATCATTAAAAAACTAGGTTAAATTTTTCAACAGCAAGCAAATTATTTCACATCTACAGATTTTTCAGCATCTAATTGAATCAAATCTATTTAAAGTGGTCGTGCTAAATATGCATTTCCTCTGCCTCAGCCATTAGGATGTGGGTCATCACTCTCATCTCAGCAGTCTGTCTGCTGGCTAGTCCATCTCGGGCTGGAATCAAAGATCTCAGCTCTCACTTCAGTGACCCCAAACCGGACCCCAGAGGCTTCGAAGCAGATGGCACAGTGGACATAGAGTCCCTACCCTTGGAGTACCACAAGGAAAACACTGTCACTAATGACCTATTTGATGGCTTTGAGGATGAAGATTATATTGATTTCGATAAGATCCTAGCAGCAGGCAGTGATGACTACATGTAAGTATTAGTGATTTTTTTTTTACTAGGGTGGATTGTTTAAATATGTTTTTGTAAAAATACTTAAAGTGTATATTAACTGAAGTTAGTTTACAACATAAACACTTGTACACTTGTGATATTTTTCTTGGTAGTGTTGATGATGTAACTGTGTATACACATCACCTATGGGACACATAAACAAACCACAATAAACAGTTACTTATTATTCTACTTTTAAATGTTTAGATGATGACTCTAAGCATGTCTTTCAGTGAAGGGGATGAGGTCGATGAGATCGCCACACCAGCCCCCGACATTGACATCTTTGCCGAACCCTCTGACCCGAAGATTCGGCGTGCCAGACTTCTGCGACTGTTCCACGGTCGTTCTCGCCTTCAGCGCCTCAACATGGTGAATGGCCGCTTTGGCTTTAACCTCTATCGAAGTCTTCGAAACAACGTCAACCAAACTGACAACATCCTGCTAGCACCCGCTGGGATCTCCATTGCCATGGGGATGATGTCTTTAGGAGCGAGATCTGAAACCCATGATCAGATCTACAAAGTTCTGGGATTCGCTGAGTTTGTCAACGCCAGTCATCACTATGACAACACAACGGTGCACAAGCTATTCAGGAAGCTGACACACAGGCTCTTCAGGAGGAACTTTGGCTACACATTGCGCTCTGTAAATGACGTCTACGTCAAGAACAGCATCTCTGTGAAAGATACTTTCCGTGCAGAGACAAAGAATTACTATTTTGCAGAGCCTCAGTCAGTGGACTTCAGAGACCCTGCATTTCTGGCTAAGGCAAACCAACGCATACAAAAGCTGACCAAAGGGCTGATTCGGGAACCACTGAAGAGTGTGGACCCAAATATGGTGCTGATGCTACTCAACTACCTGTACTTCAAAGGTGAGAAAAAAAAAATATGACATGCTTTCAAAAGACCCCTATGATTTCAACATGGCTATTTGACTTGATTTGTTTGACTAAACAGGAACTTGGGAGCAAAAATTCCCTAAAGAAATGACTCACTATCGCAACTTCAGAGTTAATGAAAAAACAAATGTACGTGTGCCAATGATGACAAACAAGGGGAACTATCTAGCTGCTGCCGATCATGATTTAGACTGTGATGTCCTACAGGTGGGTGGCCAATCTTCAACAAAAATGTTCTCCCAAACAGGGACGCGTAAACAGCACCACAAAAAGATCAAATTTCCTTTTTTCAGCTCCCATACACAGGAAACATCAGCATGCTCATCGCCTTGCCAAGGAAGCTCACTGGCATGAGGTCTTTGGAGCAGGAAATCTCTCCCACGGTTGTCAATAAGTGGCTCAAAAACATGACAAACAGGTCAGCAGCTGAGACATTCAATAATGTTTTTCAGTAGAGGATCTTTTAAAGCTACTGGTTTATGTGGAAAAGTGGGAAAAATAGTTCAGATATTGTTGCGATTTAAAACGATTCAACTATGACAAACTTCTATGTCCCCTTCAGGACACGTGAGATTGTGCTACCTCGGTTTAAACTGGAGCAAAACTATGACTTGATTGAAAACATGAAGAAGATGGGCCTCACTGGCATGTTTGAGGAGACTGCCGATTTCTCTGGCATGACCTCTGAAAGAGTTTCCATGAACTGGGTGAGCAACACTAAATCGCTGACAAATAATCTTGATCTGTGATCCATTCAGTCACTTGGACATCTTATTAACAGCATGCAATACTTCCTTTCAAAGTAATGTACAGATTCTGATTTCTCTCTGTAGCTGAAGCACCAAGGAATCATCACTGTGAACGAAGAGGGAACAGAAGCTGCTGCTCTGACTCAGGTGGGCTTCATGCCGCTCTCCTCTCAGATTCGCTTCGTCATCGATCACCCCTTCCTCTTCCTGATCTACGAGCACCGCACGAACTGCCTTGTGTTCATGGGCCGGGTGGCCAATCCCTCCCAGAGCTAAACAAAAAGTTGTGTTGCACAGCTAAACTATTCATGACAAGCCTGCTTAGAATGACCGACTAGATTTGGTTGATTCTAGAAGTTGACATCAAGTAAAGAATTTTTCATGCGAGTATAGCCTCTAGCTGAACATTTAAAGTTATATAATTCAAAGCACAGAGTGTCTCTGAATAACTCAATAAATTCTTATCAGTCTGTTAATGTTTTATCTTCTGCAATGACACTAATGTAGAAGCATGCTCAGAAAACAGAAATATGAAAATGTTCTTACTCTAAGGCTGAAGTGAAACAGTCATTTCTGTGAATAAAGCTTAATCTTGTAAAATTACTTTTTTTTTTTAACAAAGGGGGGGGTGCTCTAAAAAAGAAAATTTCAACTTTACTATTTAAATATTTAATATGTTAAGACCTAAAACTATTACTATCAATGGAAAGTACTAACTAGCACACAAGTGGAGGTCTATATATACACACTAAAAAAATACAAACTGAATGGATTGTATTATAATATTACAGTAGGCGCATAATGTTTGGGGGGGCTTAAAGCAGTAGCATTCAGCATTGAACTATAACACCGATGTCTGTACTGCAACTGACTTGGTAAATATTTGTTCATACAGTTAAAACCTAACTAACTATGTATTCCCTTGCAAGAACTCAAACATTGATGTAGCTACCTCAGCTAACCTACGTACGGGTATTTTAACACTTACAAAAAGAGCCGTTAAAGGGAAACCCCCTATAACGGCTACTCACCACAGCAATGACTGGAATAAGGACTCCAAGATTTCCAGCACTACTTGATGCCTAGGGTGATAGAGAGAGCTATTAGCATGCCATCAATGTGGCTGTTACCAATTTCCTGTGGTGTTTGGATGTTTATGTCAGGAACCATGTACCTTTAGTGCGGGGCCCTTGTCAGAGGCCCTCTCGCTGGCTCTCTTTCCTTCAAGGCCCAGTTGAACAAACAGTTCTAAAAGGTTCACCAACAGTTCGTCCACAAGCTGCTCCCCCTGCAGGTTGGCTGCAATGTTGGCAAGTGCATTTATCACAGCCAGAGAGCAGTGCCTTGATGGGGAAACAACAGCACAGATGGAGGAAAAAGTTAAACACAGCTGCAGTACATATAGCCATAAATGTAACCAAGATAAACAAGCCTGTAATAACTAATCAGGCAGAAGTATAACATAGAAGTCTAGAACTGTAAGAACAAAGAAGAAGAATTTTTAAACACTGTTGCAGCCGCTGGTCACTCGTTGAAAAATGTGAGAGCAGATGCTGACCTGTAGCCATGATCTCTGTAGTCTTTGGTGGCTGAGTAGACCACTGAACTTGCTTTCACACTGATCTGCTGGAACAGATTCCACACCTCCTGGTAGATGTATTGCTACAAACAAAGAGACAAATAAAGACATGGTTAAAAGCTGGAATGTAAGAACCAGTTTTTAATAGTGGGAGAATGTCAAGATAACACGGTGCTGCTTACAAAAGTTACAATTTCCTCAACAATAAACATTAGTGGTAATAAAATGCAAAAGATCTATATCAGTTGGGCATTTTTGGTGAGATCTATTTTCAGTACTTTTTTTTAAATGTTGTTTGTCAGAATGAGGGCGGGCTTTTTCCAGAGCACCCGGTTACACTCCAGTGGAGTGTCATTAGTAATCTTGGAATCCTTTCTTAAAGCTTAAGTGCACTGAAGAAATAAACACCAGCTGACAAGTTTACAATAATTACGATGTGTCAGCATCTTCAGCAAAAGGAGCTTGAATTAACGCCTCTGTATTCCTCTACCACCAAATCAAGCTGCAGTTTACATCAGGGTAACCTCAATCGCCACTTCATTAGGTATACTTGTTCAACTTCCTGATAACGTAAATATCTAATCAGCCAATCACATGTCAGGAATTCAGTTAACTTAAGCATGTAGACACTGTCAAGATGGCCTGTTGACTGAGCATCAGAAAGGTGATTTAAGTGATTCGAACATGAAAAGGTTGTTAGCGCCAGACAGACTGATCTTGTTTCAGAAACTTCTGATATACTGGGATTTTCCCCACACAGCCACCTCTAGGGTTTATCGAGAATGGTTGGGGGGGG